AGATCCAAATTAAAACAGAGGCTAAATTCAGTGAGCAGAGAGAAAAGCCTAGCCCATGGATTTATTCTCAATGCACTGCCTCCTGGCTTTGGTGATTTTGCAAAGAATTGAAAGAAAAAGCACAACATTCAGAATAGAAAGGGAATTTCTGAAGGTAGTTTCATAACTGAAATTTCAGTTTGAACTGGATGAGGGACGCTGTTTAGTTCAATGACCACTGAGGACCTCCGGCGGGCTTCGGGGTGTTCAAAGACAGCCAGGATTCAGCCCGCCCCAGTGGAGGGCCCCGCAGCACAAAGGCACCAAGAAGGGGTGGCGAGAGGACAGCCAGGGTGCTCACAAGCTCAGCAGGAAGGAGGCTCACATCTCATGGAAGACTCAGGATGGTTCTGGTAGAACTGTCCTCTTGAAACCCTCTGCTGCCATTATTGGGTGCTGGCCAACATGCCTTATGCAAAACACTGACAATAGCATCCACCTTTCCGGAATGCTAGCACGTTCTGGGCAATGCTCAGACTGTCCTGTGAGTTGAATGCCCCTGGCAGGATGCACGTCCACTCCCGCAGGGCCATGGTGCCTCCCTTGTCTCACTTCTCTGCTTTGACCCTTCCCAGAACTCTGAAGGTTTGAGATGAAATGACTGAGCCACACCTAGTGCATGAACAAGCACCAGGGCCTCTCTGCAATGGCTGCTTCAAGGGCCACAGAATAAGCATTGCGTGGTGCCCCCAGGTATTCCTTCTTTTGCTCATTGGTCCACCCTGAGAAGCCTCAGGGAGGCAGGACCCTCCTGTAAGGCAGCAGGAGAGGGTGGAGGGGCAGCCGACAGGTGCATCTCACGCCTCCATGTTCTCCATGGGGAGGGAAGTGGGCTAAGAGGCGAGTGGGGCAGAGGCCTAGGCCAATGTGAAGGGTTGGGAGTAAGTGGGGAGAAGACTGGAGGGGGTGAATCCAGGAGTCAGCTGAGGCTGCACTGTGCAAACACAAGCCTGGTTACGTCTGTGTAGCTTAGCTTCCCCAGCCCACCTGAGCCAGACGGGTCTGCCCGTGCTCCCCGCTTCTATTGACATCCAGCAACTCCAAATGACCTCTCCCATGTCGATGTGCTCATCTCCGAAGCCAAATCTTACAGCCTGCCTCTCTTCCCCACCAGGCTATAGCGGGAAATCATTGAGGAAACCATGGGTGAATATATCGCACGGCCTCTCGTGTCTGAGAGGAGGCTTCACAGCCAGCAGGCTGCCGCTGGTGGGCAGGTGCGCATGGAGGTTCTGCGCCTCCTGTGCGGTGAGTGGGAAGGGCAAGGAGAGCTTGTCAGTGGAGTGGGCCAGGCTGTCACATCAGATGGGCCAGGCCTCACATCGCTCCCTGTGTCCTAAGAAACGTCTGGACTTGAGTGCGTGGGTTTGTGGTACTGCAATGCCGCAGTGCCTTGGGGAGCCCCCAGGCAAGCCCAGAAAGTTCTAGGAGGCCACAGCCCTTCGAAGACTCAAGTTCAAGGGTTCAAAGCGGGGATTCCACGTCACACTTGTGAAGGTGCCCACCCCAACAGAATCTGTGGCTTTGCAGGACACGTCGGGGGCAGACCTCTCAGGCCTTGTCGCAGTGGCACTGCCCTCCCACTTGGCCTGGGTAGCCGCTCACACTTCTGAAACAGGAAACATCAGCTGCATTCCCGAGTGGGAGCCTCAGAGCATTAGCAAGAAGATAATGTTGCAACTTTTTAAAGCTAAATATATGTGGAGGGAAGCTGAAAGAGGACTTTTGACGAGTCACCTAATGTTGATGTTGAAATTAACTTAATGACCCTCTGGCTAAAATCTGTTCTCGCTTGGGAAGCACCTGAACCCTCGTTCTCCCGCCGCTGCTCTGACCCCTGGAAAGCAAGGAGCAAAGGCACACTCAGCGGCTCCCGCTCCAAAATGCCCTCCCGAGTCCTCCCAAGCAGCCAGAGGACGACTCCACACCCAGAACCCAGAGGAGCCTGGGACCCAGGCCTCAGGTTCCTGGCCCATTTGTCATTGCCCAGCGTCCTCCTGCCAGGAAGGAGCCAACCTTATCTCCCATCCTGCCCTGCCTAGAGAAGCCCAGTTCTGCCATCAACGTTCTGCTCAGATGTCACTGCATGTTACATCTTCCTCACACACTCCCACCAGCCTTACCGCATCGTGCTTGGTTTGCTGAGCGACGTGTGGGTCTTTCCTTCCCAACCCTTCTCTCCCTCAGAGGTGCAACGACTTCATATTGAGGCTGTCCATTCCCCCACTCCTGACCCATCCACCAAGCCTGGGAGGCACGGGCTTAATGCATCACAGTTAAAAGAAATGAATGGTTGACTTGCACAGAGAAGACACTGCGTCCCAGGAGATGTGCCCTGAGCAAGATCCCCGCAGCACATGTTGGGAGGCTGTGCCCAGGTAGCACTTAGGAAAGAAGGATGTATGCCCTGGGCTGCTGGGAGCACTGTGGGAACTCTGGGACCCCCCTCCTCCTCAGAGCTGTGCTACCCTGATTTGGAAACAAGACAGAGGCTTCTCTCCGGGAAGAAAACATGTCCCCTTTCCACCCAGGATCCACCTGGCTGGGGAATCGGCCTAGCTGGGGACCAGGTGGGCATGCTAAGGAGGAACGGGGCTGTGTCTGAAGGAAAGATGCCAGCAGGATGCAGGAGAGCACTCATGGTCCTGGGGTCTGGGAGTGCTGGGCCAAGGAGGTGTGGGGAGCACAGATTCATACAAGAGAGACCAGTTCAGTCTGTGGCCATGCTCCTGGGACACAGCCCTGAGCACCCAGCAAGGCCCCAGGAGATGCTGAAACACACGGCTGGGACGACTCCCAGGAACGTGAGACAGCACTGACTACAGGACGCCAGGCAGAAGTGCAGCCAGGGCGTGCTGTGGGAGAAGGGCTGGGAGGATGGAGCTCGCACACTGTGTCAGAAACCTTCACATAGCACTTGTCCTCAGTAGGAGCCAAGGTGGGGGTGAGGAGTGGCCCACTTACCAAAACTCTCAGAGACCCCTTGGGGAATTTGTGCTTCTCGTTTCTGCAAATCTGGGCTCTGCAAGGTTCCAGGAGACACAGCAAGGGTGCACTGGACTCTAAGCTATGGGAGGCCTCTGGGAGGCTCCTTGGGTGGAGTTTAGCAGCAAGAAGGCTCATGTTGACCCTGGTCATCAAGAGGTGTGGAGCTGCTGCTATACAATGGGGCAGGACCCCGGCAACCCATCCAGGCACCTCTTGGCTCTCCCTGTGTGTACTGATGGGAAATGGTACGTGGAGATGCAGCACCCCTGGACCAGGAGGGGCATGGTGACCAGTTCAAAGCCCTCAAGGATGAAGGCTTGGGTCTGGCCACTGAGCTGCTGAGGAAAGGTCAGAGTGGGAGGCACTGGAGTCTTCACTGGGCTTCCGGCTGCAGTGGCTGAGGTTGGAATTTGTGCCACGAGCTTTCCTCTTCTAAGTTTTCTCCAGAATAAGGTTGCTTTTTGAATTTCAGATAAACAACAAGTGGTTTCTTTAGTGTAAGTACATCCCAAATACTGCATGGAATACCCCTATACTAAAACAAGTTATGCAACGTTTATCAGAAATTCCAATTTAACTGGGAGTTTTGCATTTTTATTTGCTGAAACGGGCAACCGTCCTCCAGGGATGGAGGCCCACTGGAACCAGGAGGAGCTGCCCTCAGGAGCTATGGGAGAAAATGGGTCACAGCAGAACGAGTTGTAGACTTGGGTGGACGTTGCTGGGCACTGTTTGGATTCCCACTTGGGAGTGAGAGGTTCATTCCCTCGGGCACTGGGACTCCTCCTGGGAGGTGGTTCTCAGCAGGCAGCCTTCTGTGGCGATTGCACCAGCTGGAGAAAGCCACCGTCCCAGGTCACGTCTCCTCTAGAGGCAGCTGGCACCCAGTGCCAGCTCAGTCAGGGTGTGGGGGCCCGATCCCTTCACTCCATGTTGGAACAGGCTCGTCCTGGCTCCAGAGCTTTCTGCAGCATTGACTGGAGTCCATTTGGCTTGGCGTTGCATCACAGGCACCTCTTGGCCAGTTCTGCTCCCTTCCCCTTGACTTCCAACCAAGCATGCTCCCTAAGAATACACGCTAACCTCCATCTCAGAGTCTGCCACTGTCCTTGTTAAGGGCTGAGGGAGGACTAGGATCATTGTCAACAAAAGCCTGACCCAAGAGGCAAGCCATAGTCATGTTTAGAGCTGATCACTCTGAGCCCCTCACTGCTTCTAGATGTCACGGTTCAAAGGTGATTGACAGTTCTGTGTTTCCCAGTGCCTGCTAGAGAACTAGCTCAGCATGGACGGTGAGACGGCATCTCTCACTCTGCCGGTCTCCCCGGTAAACTTGTTCCTCCTCCTCACTTCTCTATTGAGGTTCTTGGCAATAGGATTCCCCCGTATTCTCAGAGGATAGGTATGTTCCAAAACCCCTAGCAGATGCCTGAAATAGAAGGTAGTACTGAGCCCTTTATAGACTATGCTTTTTTCTGTACGCACATAGCTAGGATAAAGTGTAACTTACAAATTAGGCAGAGTGAGAGATTAGCAACACTAATAATAACATCAGGCAATGATGACCATGCGCTGTAATGAAAGCTGTGGATGTGCTGTCTGTCTAACATCTTCCTGCATGGCACTTGCCCTCTAACGGCCTGATGGCTGCCACACGGCTGACGGGCCAGCAGCATATACAGCAGGGTCTGCTAGACAAAACAGTGATTCACATCCCAGGAGGGATGAAGCAGGACCCTGCGCGATGTCACCACCCTGCAAAGAATGGCATGCAACTTAAAACACGAAGTGTTGATTTCTGGAATTTTCCATTTCACATTTTCGGACTGAGGCTGCCCTCAGGTAACTGAAACGGTGGATATGGGGGACTCCTGTGTCATTCCCAATCCTGGAAACCCTCCGGCAACCCCTGACTCCCCGACCACCCCATCCCCCGCCAAGCACGTTCACTCAGCCCCATACCTGCTTGTCCTTCCCTCCTCTGCCACCCATGCACCTGCCCATCTGAGAGCTCTCTGTCTCACCCTCGAGGCCTCCCAGGCCTCCTGGCCGTTGTTCTCTCTCGGGTGGTACCCACATTATGGCCGGATAATTCCTCCTTTACTGTAGTTCTTACCTTATTACGGGGGAATATGAGCCAAGGCCATGTGACTTACTGCCAGGTAGAAACTAACAGAGCCAGCACATGCTTCTCCCGTACCCTTCTTTCCATCAGGTGGCCAGGAATGTTCCGGATCCCTGTGGCTTTGCCATGGATATCTCATTTGAAAGAGAAGTAACCCCCCAGAATCTCAGGGGTCTCGTTACCACAGCATAATCTAACCTTTCTAGAAGGATACACTCCTCTATCCAGCATGCCCAGAGTCTTATATGTGACAAGTGACGGTATGCTGTTTCACAAAGTTTCGCTGCAAGAGCCGTTGATAAACTTTAGAATAACCCAACATTAGGAGCTGTTACAAATGGGTGGAATTAGACAAAGCCATTTGCCTTTCACCTCTTGCTTCAGTTTTCAGAAAAATGCCCAAAGGTATTGCAAACCATCTGCATTTTCATTGGCTTGGTTAAGGAGTTGGCAGTGTCAGCGGGCCCTGTGTATAGCCACGTCACTGTTTCCGTAGAGAGCATGACACGTCAGAGAGGAGGGAAGTGTTGCCAGGATTCTTCTTAGAAGGCTGGCAAGAAGAGGAGGCGAAAAGGGAAGAGCTGTTTGTAAACAGGGAAAGGCGACGACTTCGCCTCGTATCCTTGACTTCTCATCGTAATCGATTGTAATCGCTTACAATCACAAGCCTCATTTCCTACAAGCCTGCAAGTGGGTTCTATTCTGCATCTAGGAAAAAGCCCTGCTTACTAACTGTGCCCTCAAAGAGATCCCAGGCTGGTCCTGAACACCCTGTGTCCTGGGAATGCTTACTGTCGAAGCTCTGCAAATTTTCTCATTGAAGGCACTCAAGGCATTCTGCAAATTAAATTAGGAAAATGTATACAGCCCTACATGAAAAAATCCAGGTTTATGATCTGTATTGTATTACCAAAGAATTTATCACTTTTCAAAGAACATTCAATTATTTTAAACTGAGTGTGCAGTGAGAGGATTTCTAATATAATCTCATTTCCAGAGTGTTCCATCCCGGCTCCTCTCTGGTATAAATAGCTTAGGAGGTTAGATTTTTTTTTTCCCAGAGGATTAAACATTCGAGAAGAGTGGCTAAGAGGCAGCACCGGCTTTCGCTCATTTCCTAAAGTGAATTTAGCCTTGTGAAGAAGAATAAAGTGAAGGTCAATGGTTAGATCCATGGCTTAAAAAAAATGCAGCTTTCCTTAGTCTGAACTTACCATAACCAAAAAGGCCATGAGGCAGCCATTAATGATCCTAAGTTGCAACAGAAAGAAGAAAACACTTACTGAGGGTTAAACAAGGATTCGGTGGTCACGTGCTGCCAACCTCCACCTCGCAGGGGAGGAGGATGAGGTCAGGGAAGACTTTCTTGCCCACACTGACTTGACCAGCGATGCCAGCGCCAGAGTGAAAAATGCCCCCTCCTATGACAGCCTGCGCTCAGAGGCTGATGCTGAAATAGTCCTGCCAAAGGCAGCCAATCCCTGTGTACAAGCAGAAAAAAACAGTTCCTCAGAGCTGTGTCCTTGGGCCAGCCATCCGGACCTCTCTCAGTCTCTTTCCTTCTCCCTACACTTGGGCTGAATCCCACCTTCCCTGCCTGCCAGGTTTGGTTTGGGGTCCAAATGAGTGAAAGTCGGTGAGATGCCCCTAAGTACTGAGGTGCTTAGTAAGTGACAAAAGCCCCGATTTGCTGAACATGACGACGTGCCAGGCATTGCGCAAAGCATCATTTCACCACCACAATAAACACTGCTGGGAGTCAGGGACACCCCCACCTCCTTGTACACCCAGAAGTAGGACTTTGGTGAAATGGCTGTCCTAAGGCCTCACAGCCTTGAAAACTCAAGCACTTCTTTAATCCCCAACAAGACTATCTTTTGGCCATGCAATGTGTCATGGCCAATAATTAGATTTGCAAACACATACAACCAAAGACGATTAGAGAAGAAATATATTCTATACAAATTACATGAAAATAACACTTTCAGTATTTTCCTGATTTTTTCTGGTAATTAAAAATGATGGCCCTTTATATTTATCCACGGATACAGCTGCATTGTTTTTAACAAATTGTAGCCCCCCCCTTTTAAAGAGTGAATTCATACTAGTGAGAAAATAGTGTTATCCAAGATTTTAAGAATCTATTGTGTGGTGTGGTGTGGTGTGTGTGTGTGTTTGTGTGTGTCGGATGGGTTTTCTAAAATATTTTTCTTGCATGCAAATGTGTAATTTTAAAGATTGGCTTTTAAAATACTGAACTGAGGTAAAGTCAGCTTTTCTTACAGACTCCATGATAAATGTGAAATTGAAAATGGAAATTCTCCATTCAGATTGTGTGCTGACTGCAACCTCAACATACGGATAAGTCACTGAAATAAGTAACTTCCTCAAGGACTATGATGGTCAGCCTTTGTTTTGGGTACACATTTAATGAACTGATTTCCTATTAGTTTCTGCTTTTCAGCAAGTGGTGTCACTTGCTGATAAATATCCAGCCTTTTACTAAGGAACACTGATTTTCTCATCAAGTCTCAGTGTGTGGAGGGGGTGAGTTTGGTGGGGAAGCTTTTCAATTTGAGAAGCTTTGCCATTTTTTGCTTCAATCATGACTAATATATAAAAGTCCTTGGTCAGCATTGCCAGTTGCCACCTGGTCACTGCCTCCCTGAGGGGTAATGAGGCCATCCAGAGTTTTAATGATTAAAATATTTTATTATTTGTATTCACATCATCATTAAGAAAAATAACTTCTAGTGGATCAATATGGCAAATGAGTAAACCAGAAGATGGCGTTGAAGATTAGCAATTACATTTAAAAACAAGGTAGTGGTGTGAAGGCTCAGTTTCACGCAATGACTGTTGTTCTGAACTAAAAGCGGAGGATGTAGATGAGGGAGGGAGGGTATGTTGAAAATGACTAAACCCGGTGCACAGGACACGTGTACCAAAGTGCAAACATTTGCCATTTTTATCCTTAGCGAACTCCTCTCTGGTACGTTTGAACGTTTGAGGGGAAGGTAACCATTGACTAAAATATAATGCAACAAGAAGGCAACGATCTTTGCTTTGTTCACTAATGTGTTCCAAGTGCCTAGGACAGTTCCTGACAAGTAGTAGGTGCTCAAAATATATTTGTCAAATGAACAAATCTGTGAAAGGAAAGGAAGAAAAACAGGTTGTGACCAGAACTTTTTTTGAACAAAACCCTGTTGTTTAGTACATAGACTTTGGTAATGGAAAACTTACTGGGGTGAAATAACAAATGGCATCCTGTTAATTTCTGAGAATGTCTGTTGGTTTTAGGAAAAGCACACCTGTCCATGCCTCACTACCTGTTTTGCTGTCGCCTAAACCTAGTTTCTTCTTTGCTTAGGAGACACTGACCCATCGTATAAGATTAAAACAAAAACTGAGAAATAAGTGAAATCAAAAGCTTTTCAAAAGTTGCAAGTTGACCTACGGTGGTGATGGTCTAAAATCATATAGAAACCAGTGATCTGATGGTTTACCTGAAAATGCGAAGTAAATACACATACTCAGCATCCCAGACCATCTGGTGAAAGCTCAACGGGTGAAAGCTCGGGGGGTTAATTTTGCGATTAAAGACATCTTGGAAAAGGATGTAAAATCGCTGGTCCACTTAAGTATGATTCCTATTTTGGACTATGACTTATTGATTTATTTTGAGACGGAGTCTTGCTCTGCCGCCCCGGGGTAGTGCAGTGGCATCATCTCGGCTCACTGCAACTTCAGCCTCCCGGGTTCAAGCGATTATCGTGGCTCGTCCCCCCAAGCAGCTGGGACCACAGGCTCCCGCCACCGCGCCCGGCTAACTTTTGTATGTTTAGTAGAGATGGGGTTTCACCATGTTGGCCAGGCTGGTCTCGAACTCCTGACCTCAGGCGATCCACCGCCTCGGCGTCCCAAAGTGCTGGGATTACAGGCTTGAGCCCCAGCGCCCGGCCTATTTTGGGCTTTTATACCCCACTAGGAAACCGCTTTCCTCCAGGTTGAGGTTAAAACCACATCATTTTAAGGTGGACTGAAGTCTGGACGTGATTAAGCACTTGGATCCTTGGGGATCTCTCCCCGCCGCCATCTCTTTTATGCTAAGATAATTAAAACTCTGGGGCCGGGGCACTGTCTGAGTCACTTCGATTCGCCAGCCTAATAGATGCGAAGGGATGGAAGCGTGGCAGGCGCGCAGACAGAGTTTGAATCAGGCTTGATCGCTCGCGGGAGGCATTTCCTATTTCTTCTTAGCGAGTGCGACGTTCTCCCAGCGCCGCGGAGGGGCAGGTTCTCGGTGCGGCCTCGCCAGGCGCCCCCGCAGCCTCCACTCCAGCTCCACGTGGACCCTTC